TTCAAAACAATCCAAATTTCCATCGTTAGAGAACTGGTTGAATGAACTATGCCAAAATCTCACAATAGAATATTCTGCAGTTTAAAAGAAATGAGAGACACCTTTTTATAATGTTATAGACTTATTTCCACTGTATGTATATTAAGTAACTAAAAAAAGCAAAGCGGAGATAAGCATCATCTCAAGAGCCTTAATTTAAGCACATCTGCAAAGTCCCTTTTGCTATGTAACATATTCACAGATTTCAGGGACTAGGTAAGGGGCCATTTTTCTCTGCCTATCACAATGGCCCCATGCAAATCTAAACAGGGCCTTCAAAGATTGAAACCCATTATACAAGACCTATTTAGAGGAGGGGTGATTATCCCTAGTAGTTCATTTAACTTCCTAATATAGCTCATTCTTAATCTTGGAAAGTATGAATAGTGCCTCATGGTGGATTATTGCAACCTTAAAGCCATGGTCCTATTCAATAATGTGCCCAAACCCAATATTGAAATTGACCCCATCCAGGCAGCACCTGGTAAATATTTCAATATTGCAGATATGTCTAATATTTTCTGTACAGTGTTTATTTCAGCAGCCTCTCGGTCACAGTGTGCCTTCACCTCTGAAGGGATGGGGGATACACCCTTACCAGGCTACCCAGGGGGCACCTCAGCAACCTAGATATCACACACCATCTTTGAAAGCAAGACCTTAACTGTCAAATACATCCTGCTTTCTCTAGGAACATAGGTTCAACATTACATTGAAGACATCCTCTTCTAAGGAGATTCATTTGACACTATCATTCAGGACATATACATATTCACAGAAGAGCTCACTAAAGGGGGATGGACTGTTACCCTCACATAGTACTAGCCCTGCCACCTCTGTTAAATTCTGAAAATTCTTTGGCCAGCCAAGGGCCTCTACACCCCTAACAATGTCAAGACATAGCTATTGACCCCTTAGCAATCAACAATGTTAAACAAGCCCATTATCTTTTAGGCCTTCATGGGTTATGAAGGCAACATATTCCTAATTTACAAATTTTAAGTCCATTTACACTGTTGCCTGCAAATCAGTACAACCTGAATGGGGTCCTGTCCAACAAAAGGCTCTAGAATCTATTCTAATTGCAATACAGTGGGCACTCTCAGTAGTACCCCAGAGACTCCTTCATTACTGAGGCTTTAGCAACCTGTTCTCCTGCCTCTTGCAGTCTCTAGACCACCCATGACAGCCATAAGTTGGTCATGGACTTGTGATACAAGAAACTGTCCTCCTCAGTCCCATGCTGCTTGCCATTAGAATGGCAGATGGTTGCATACTGGGCTCTTCTGGAAGCAGAGGCTCTCACAGGTCCTGGGTCTGTAACCCTCTGCGCCTACATGCCCATGATGCCCTGGGTCATGGGAGCAGCACCTTGTAAGCTGGCATGGCTCCAAGTCTCCTTGCTGTACTGTGAAGCCAAACTGGGACCTCTGGTATATCCCACCTGCAGGGGGTGGCCTCCCCAACCTTAGTGCATTGTCAGATGCCACAGTGGTAGAGGGTATCACTCTCTTCCAGACCCCTTGACTACCTGGGGAGCCCCTTAGCATCACCTGAGTAAACAACAAAGGGAATTTGTACACTGTATGAATGACATCACAATCATCACACTAATGAAATTTGCTGGGAAGATGCTGCTTTTCATCCCTTAACCCAGATGTCAGTGATCAAAGATGGACCAAATGGTCAGCACAATTGGCAGAATTTCAGACAGTGGGTTTAGCATTGGAAGCCCTGACCAACATTTGGCTCCATCAGCACATTTTCACAGACTCTTGGGCTGTTGACAGTGGTCTGGCCATCTGGTCCAGTCAGTGGCAGCAACAATTCCTTATCCAAGGTTGTCCTCTTTGGGGTAAAGCACTCTGGGAATTTCTTGCCTCACAGATACCCAAGATATAAAAGAAGGTCATACATGCCTCTGCACATTCTAAAGCCACAAGGCAAGGCTTCACCAAGACACTCCTTATTCCTGTCTGAGTTCTACACCCTACTGGTAATGCCCAAAGCACTCATTTCACTTTTCAAAACACATAATACTGAGCTTTGAAACAAGGCATCCATTGAAACATTCACCTCACATACAAGTTTCAGGCTGCCACCATTAAAACAAATAGTATGAGTTCAAATAGTGTGAGTTCCCACATATCCTTCAGCCAGCTCCGCCTGACGTTAATATGTTGTATGGAACATGCTATCAAAACTAGGAAAATAAAATTGACACAATTTGAAAAATACTTTACAGACCTTATTTCAGTTTTGCCAGTTTTCCTGCTAGTGTGCTTTTCTTGATCATAATCTAGTCCAAGATCACACACTGCATAGTTCTGTCTCCTTAGTCTCATTGAATCTGTGACAATTCCTCAATCTTTTGATGACCTCGACACTTTGGAAGAAAACTGGTCACTTATTGTAGAATGGCCCATATTTAATCATGATTAAATTGAGGTTGTGCATTTTGGCAAGTGTATCACAGAAGTTTTGTTGTGTCCTTTGAGAAGCATCTTACTAAGGGATATGTGACGCTGACATGATGATATGTCTTTCACTGGTGGTGTTCGCCTGCATCATTTGGTTAAAGTAGTGTCTGCCTGGTTTCTCCACTGTAAAGTTACTGTCTATTCCCTTTGTTATTCATAAATATCTTATGGAAAGATACATTGAGACTATCTAATTATCCTGTTCCTTATTAGACATTGGCCCACAAATTTTAGTATCCATCAGTTCTTGCCTGCAACAGTTTTTACTGTGGTATTTGTTTAATGACATCTACTTCCTTTTTCTTCTGTTTATTTATTGGAATTCAACTATAAAACAAAGAGCTGTTCCTTTTTCCAGTTTGTCTGTTTACATTGGTACAGATTCCTTTTTCCCCCCATTATTCTCATTCTTTGTTGTGTTGCAGCTTTGTGATGGAAGCTCCTTCAAATTAGCTCCTGGGTATTATCTTTTATTCTTATCACTTCTTTACCTTCTGGAACCCACAAGATGTCCCAAGCTCATCTTGTAGTTTCCCATTCCTGGAATCAACATTTTCTCAAGAAGCCCTATTTCTTTTCATTGGAGGATAGCATTTAGAAACAGATGTGGATGACAGCTGTGCTTATTGTTTCTGGGATGTCATTACCTCTACATCTTTTTAGCAGACAGAGGTAGGAAATATATGTATATGTATACTAACACATTCACATGCATCTACATTTGTATATCTGTCCCTCTCTACATATGTTAAAACCAAGAGGTATATGGATATCTCTAATTTTAATCTAACACAATGAGATTTATTCTAGCTGTCTCCCTTTCCTTATTTGTTACAAGATAGCAAAACATTAGAAAGCTATAATAAGACGACTAGATCAACTATCTTCTTGAATTCTCCAATTGTTTGAAAGTTACAGTTTTTATTTTATAACATAAATTAAGTTAAAATGGAACACTTACTGTTTCAGTTTTGTCTTGGGCTCCAGAGATGGAGAGCAGTAGGTGTCAAGGTTTTAAGATATATTCCTATGGTGGAATAGTACACAGTCAGTAAAAATGATGTTTACTAAATAGTTTTTCATAACAAGGAAAGCTTACCATATGATAGTATAGCATAAATTATATGCACATTCTATTTTCTGAGCTAGAGGTTATTTAAAACAAAAAGCAGGCTCCTGCCACATGACAGTCTCCCTGCCAAGGGTGGCCATGTCAACTCTCTTAGCTAATACCCTTGATATTTACACCCATATTCCTAATTAATATTCTTGGCCTGTTATTTCTTAATTAATTTTAGACATCATCTGCTAACTTCCCATGTGAGTTTTAGAATTTCCATACCACGTCTGCACTTCTCTTTCACCCAGTAGGTTATATAAGCATTTTTTTGTTAAATCAGTCATGTGCACATAATTATGATTACACACTGTTAAGACAGGTAGTACCTGAAGCTCATAGATTCTTTGAAGTATAACCTTTGCAAGAAACCCATCGTTCATATATCAACTTAATTTTTCTAATAATCCAACGATACTGTGACATGCCTATCAATAAAATTTTCCACACAGCCACATACATTAACTCTTTTGTTTTTCTTCTGAGACTTCCCTTTGTCCTGCTGTAAAATGGGCTGACTGAATGGACAGTTGGCTGCTGCAAGATTTTTATGAGATGTGACTTTCACATATTATACTAGGACTTTGCTTCAACAACTCCTGTGATATTTCCTCTTCAGTAGGTGGGGGGAGAATCCTGTCTCTTTTCATTCCTGTTTTACCTCCATATTATGATAGAGCTTATACCCTAGTAGCTTTCTAAGAAGGGGCATATGCATTTTTTAATAACAATTTATTTTTTATTTATTTAATCCTTACATAACTAGAAATGTCTTTATTCAACATTCACACTAGGTTGATAGTTTGGGTATAGAATTTAGGTCAGTCTTGATTTTTCTTAGGATGTTGGAAGAATTGCTTCTCTGTCTCCCTGCTTCTAGGGGAACTGTTGGGAAGTCCCTTGCCATACCACCTCTCTATCTGTTATTGGACCTGCTTTTTCTCATTGGAAGTTTTAGGATTTTGTCTTTGTATCAGGAGTTATAAAACTTTTACTCTTAACATAATTTTGTAAAGACTCCCAGAATTTCTCCTTTTTAAGCATAAAGAGGAAGGAAAAGAAGAAACATTTACTAGGATTTACTCTACCAGAAATTATGTTGGGTTGCTGACATATGCTATTTCTTTTCATTATGAGATTCCACATAGTTTGAAATTGTACATACCCAGATCTGTCTGGATCATGGAGATGCCTATTTTATACAGAAGACTTTGCACGGGGAAAATGGAATGTTTGAGGACCTGCAGACCTACTGTATTCACCAATTTCCTTAGAATTCTCCATCTCCAGATTCTTGGCACACAGTAGCTCCCCTTTCATTCCATGCCTCTTCTTCCTCTGTACTCACCTCTGTTTTCTTCTGCCTCTCCATGTTTGCTGTTTTAGGGGATGGTGCGGTTCAGTGATGTGACTGTAGATTTCTCCCGAGAAGAGTGGGACTGCTTGGACTCTGTGCAGAGAGTTTTATACAGAGACGTGATGTTGGAGAACTATAACAACCTGGTCTCAGTGGGTAAGAGTACCTGTCCCCTGAATTTCAAAATCTGCTTAGGAATGTCTGCTTCCTACATTCTGAATTATTTAGCTGCCTTTAAATAACCAGCTTTCTGTTCACGGAGTTTGAACTTTGTGGAGATGGAAACAGGTGACACTGTTAGATTATGGAAGCTTAATCTTCTCTATTTTTCTTCCTGGTTTTTTTTTTTTTCTTTTTCTTTTTCTCTTTTTTTATTTGGCAGCTGGCTGGTATGGAAATCCAAACTCTTTACCTTGGTCTTATAACACCATGCTGTAACCAACTGAGCTAAGTGGCTGGCCCTAATTTTCTCTATTTTTCACAAGATATACTTTTTTTGTGGTTCTCCCTATAATCTACTTTTTTTTTTAGTAAGTTTTATTTTGTATAGTTAGGGTTTAGAACATGATGTTATGCGATACATATACATAGTAAAATGGTTACAGTAGTGAAGCAAATTAACATGTCTATCATTTCACATAGTTTCTTTTTTTGGTGACAAGAGCAGCTAAAATCTACTTATTTAATAAAAATCCCTAATATAATATAATTTTGTTAACTTTAGTCCTCATGCTGTACATTAGATTTGAAGACTTATTCATCTTACATATCTGCTGTTTTGTATCCTTTGACCTATATCCCCTTATTCCCCACACCCTGTCAACCACTATTGTATTCTCTATTTCTGTTTTTGAGCTCTCATGTTTTAGATTTCACATATGAGTGAAATCATGCAATATTTCTCTTTTTGTGGTTGGCATAGCATAATGTCCTCCAGGTTCATCCATGTTGTGGCAAATCGCAGGATCTTCTTTTTTAAGGCTGAGTAATATCCCATCGTGTGTATATACAACATTTCTTTATCCATTTGTCCGTCAATGGGCATTGAGGTTGTTTCCATATCTTGACTATTGTGAATAATGCTGCAATGAACATAAGAGTGCAGATATTTTTACAAGGTGCTGATTTCATCTCCTTTGAGTATATACCCAGAAGAGGGATAACTGGGTCATATGATAGTTCTATTTTTAATTTCTTGACGACCTTCTGTACTGTCGTTCATAATAGATATACCAATCTGCATTCCCACCAGCAGTGTACTAGGGTTCCCTTTTCTCCACACCCTCACCAACATTTGTTATCTCTCTTTGATAATAGCCACCCTTACAGGTGTGAGATAATACCTCATAGTGCTTTCAATTTGCATTTCCCTTATGATGAGTGATGATGAGTGATGTTCATATACCTCTTAGCCAATTTTATGTCTTCTTTGGAGAAATGTTTGTTCAAGTCTTTTACCCATTTTTATTTTATTTTATTATTATTTTTTTGTCTTTTTCGTGACCGGTAAGGGGATCGCAACCCTTGGTGTGGTGTCGCCCACACCGCTCTCAGCCAGTGAGTGCACCGGCCATTCCTATATAGGATCCGAACCCGCGGCAGGAGCGTCACTGCGCTCCCAGCGCCGCACTCTCCTGAGTGCGCCACGGGCTTGGCCCTTTTTTACCCATTTTTAAATTGGGTTATTTGTTTTCTGCTATTGAGTTATAAGAGCACTTTATACATTTTGGATATTAACCTCTTAATAAGTTACATGGTTTGCAGTTATTTTTTCCAGCCATAGTTTGCCTTTTCATTTTGTTGATTGTTTCCTTTGCTGTGTAGAAGCTCTTTAGTTCAGTATGGTCACATATACTTATTTTTGTTTTTGTAGCCTGAGCTTTTGCCTATTTATTTCTTGACCAAAGGACTAGAAATTAATACTGGGATATCACAGCATAACTGTTTTTTCTTGTGAGCAGGACTTTCCATTTCTAAGCCAGCTTTGATCTCCTTACTGGAGCAAGGGCAAGAGCCCTGGATAGGTGACAGAATACCTGCTAGAGATCAGTTCTCAGGTAAGTGACGGTAAATCAGGGGTGTTGGAGGGAACATTTCAGATGGTAATCTGTTAGTGAGGAGGTGATACCCTTGAGTCTGGAAGATGGCCCTTGTAGACTTTGGTCTCTAGAGACAGAGCTGTTGAGAGTGACTTTTCCACTCTGCCTCTCCTCCACTCCCACCCATTCCACTTTTATGTCTTTTTTAACCATTTTCCATCTTCCTCACCCTTGAAAGTCATTTTATCTATATTTTGTATTTAACTTATTAGCTAATTTATTTTGTAATAACTTTATATAACCGATGCTTTTCTCTAGAAACAAGTATGTGTGTATGCATATGTATTATATTTTTCTATGTGGGTCTTAATCTACTAATGTTTTGTTACTTTTTTAAAATCTGTTTTTCTTTTTTTTTTTTTGTCCTTTTCATGACCGGTAAGGGGATCACAACCCTTGGTGTGGTGTCGCCCACACCACGCTCAGCCAGTGAGCACACCGGCCAGTCCTATATAGGATCCGAACCCGTGGCGGGGGCGTCACTGCACTCCCAGCGCTGCACTCTCCCGAGTGCACCACGGGGCCAGCCCTAAAAATCTGTTTTTCTTTGTTTTTTTTTGTCCTTTTCATGACCGGTAAGGGGATCACACCCCTGGGTGTGGTGTCGCCCACCCCACGCTCAGCCAGTGAGCACACCGGCCAGTCCTATATAGGATCCGAACCCGTGGCGGGGGCGTCACTGCACTCCCAGCGCTGCACTCTCCCGAGTGCACCACGGGGCCAGCCCTAAAAATCTGTTTTTCTTTGTTTTTTTTTGTCCTTTTCATGACCGGTAAGGGGATCACACCCCTGGGTGTGGTGTCGCCCACCCCACGCTCAGCCAGTGAGCACACCGGCCAGTCCTATATAGGATCCGAACCCGTGGCGGGGGCGTCACTGCACTCCCAGCGCTGCACTCTCCCGAGTGCACCACGGGGCCAGCCCTAAAAATCTGTTTTTCTTATTCAGCCATTCATTTATTATTGTCTTGACCAACATGTATTGAATTTATAAGTTAATACAAAACAATCTCCTGAGTGTGAGAGATTACAAAATGTGTAAAATATTAAGGATTTCATGTAATAGGGGCTGCGAACATGTTTGTAAATGATGTCCACAAGGTAAAATTTAACACAAGAAAATATCATATTGAGAGCTCAGAAGTAAGGCAGGACTAGAAATGTAGAAGTGGAGTTGATCCATGTGGAAGTAATCTTTGGAGTGAGTGTGGTTGGCTATGGTGAGAGTGTTGGGAATACAGAGTTTGTGCCTGCATTGAGAAGAAAGAGGAGAGAGAAGAATGAAGGGGATTCCTAGGAAACATACGTGCATAGAATGAAGCTACCTCAAGGTCTGGCAAAGAATGATAGCAAAACTTCAATCTAAACAATTCTCAGAGATCACACAGAAATGAGAAATGTTTGAGTTCTGACCAGCTAGTGTGAGAGTTCACTGAATACATTAGGCTCAAAAAAATACAGTGTGTTCTGATGCAGTAAACATCGTGTGTATGAATTTCCCTGGGGATAGCCCCACCTTAAGACAGGGAAGTCTGTGGGATGCCTTATGGTATACAGAAACTAAGTTACTTTTAGGTGTGACTGCCACTCATGTAACCCTAGTATGGAGGACCCAACATTGGTGGGTGCAAAACATGTATTCTAACCATGCTCAGGCCATTATTACACAACGGCAGAAACATGCATTGTTAATGACACATTTGTTCATAAGACAGGAAGGGACTTTAGGGGAGCTAGGTACCAATCTAGGCATTGTGGGTCAAGCTGAACTCACTTTTATTGAGGGGAATCATTCAGAGGGAAAATATGTATCAATTAGAATAAGCAGATTAGAGATGATTCTTTTCCAGGAGGAAGGCAAAGAATGAGAGTCAGCCTGGAAAGAAGATGAGGCTTTAGGGTCAGTGTTACAGGTTGAATTGTGTCCCCCCAAAACACGTGTTGAAGTTGTAACCTCCAGTAGCAGTAAGTGTGAACTTTTTTTGGAAGTAGGGTTTTGGCAGACGTAGTCAAGTTAAGATGAGGTTATCGGGGTGACTAATCCAGTATGACTGGTGTCCCTATAAGAAGAGTGGAGACACAAAGGAACACAGGGAGCTCAACATGTGACAATGGAGTGATAACATCTACAAACCAAGGAACACCAAGGATGGCCAGCAAACATCAGAAGCTAGGAAGGGGCAAGGAAGGATCCTCCCCCAGAGCCTTCAGAGACCCCAGCATGGTCATTCCCTAGTAATAGAATTAAAGTAGCCCACAGGAAAGACTACTTTAAACCCATCCTAACAAAGCTTAATAAAAGCTTTGAAACAATCAGACATCTTCGAATAACTCAACTGTCTACCATAACAAAGTCCAACAGTCTGAGGGAAATTAACAAAATTTGGCGTTCAACAGCATAACATGCATTATTCCCATCATCCAATCATAAAGTACTAGATGTGGAAGAAGCAGGAAAATGTGACCATAATCAGGTGAAATGAATAGTCAATGGGAATGACAGAGATGATGAAATCAGTAGATGAGAATGTTGTAACAACTGTTATGTTTAATAAGCTTGTGGATTTAGAGGAAACTATTAATATAATGGAGAGAGGAACTGAAGATTTAATAAAAGAACCAAGTGTAATTTCAGGAGCATACAAATACTGAATGATTTTAACAGCAGATTACATAGTTCAAAAGAAAAGAACTTTATTTTGAAAATAAACAAATGGAAATTATCCAAAATAAAGCACAGAGCAAAGGAAAAAACAGTAACCCGTGGGACAGTATCAAGTGTTTAAAGTGAATACAACTGTAATTCCAGAAGAGAAGGATCAGAAAAGGTATTTGTGAGAAGAATGATTATTTTAAAAATTAGATGAAAACTGTAAACCCACAGATCTACTTCAGGGAACCCAAAACAATATAAACATGATGAAAATCTAGCTAGGTCCATCAAAATCTATTTTTGAAAAATGGTAGCTTTCTAAAGCAGCCAATGAAGATACTTCAAAAACATAGGAACAAAGAATTCCCAGACTTTTCATCAGAAATTATGAAAGTGTTAAGATAATTGAAAGCCATCTTTCCTGTACTGAAAGACACTCTACTTAGAATTCTATATCCAGCAAAACTACTTAGCAATGAATGTGCAAGTGCTCTGAGAGGTTCCACTTCTAGTCAAGATAGAGTAATAGGAGCTTCTTTTACTCTCCTGTTCCCCAAAATAAAAAAATACATGAACCAGTGGTTTTTCAGGAACATGTCTGTACATCAGACAGTAAAGAACAGTGATTCTTGAGGGAAAGGAAAACAAATGAGGTACTATGTTTGCTCCATCTCGTGGCCTTGAGAGAGACTTGGATGTAGCAGAGAAATGAGGCAGAACACAACAGGTTACCTGAGTGGAGGAGGTGGAGCTGAGAGCCTGGGGTGATTAAGATAGCAAATGTTCAGAGGAGTACCAAAGAAGAGAGAGCTGCAGAGTGAGGGTACCCTAAAGATTTGCAGATGGTCTCCTTTGAGAGTTCAGCAGAGTACACCAACATATGGGAAACTGCCTGAGGCTACCAAAAGTACCATTCCATTGAGTGAGATGGAACTGCCCAGGACTCACACAGCCAGGAAAATACTGGCTTCTACCAGTCAGACTGGAAAACCACATAATTCGTGGTGCATTGGTTAGGCCACTCAGCAATGTCTTACCTGAGTGTGGTTAGAAGACTGCTCTGGATCCTGCTAACAGTTCATAAAAGGAAGACCTGCAAGGATCAAACTACTTCATGTAATTTAACCAGATATCAGAACAAAGCTCAAGAAGATTTAGAGTGATACAAAATCCAGCACTCAACAAGCCAAAATTCACAATATCTAGCATTTACATATTACTATGCATGCAAAGAGAGGGGGGAAAAGACCCATAGTGTGGTAAATTTTCAATTAAAACTGAGCAAGAAATGACAAATACTAGAATTAGCAGAAGACATTAAAAGCAGTTGTTATAATGATATTCCAGATGCTTAACAAATGTTTAAGTAGGTACATACATAGAATATATTTTAAAACAGCCATATTCAACTTATAGAGTTGAAAACAATATTTCAGTTGAAAAATATACTGGATGGGCCGACCCCGTGGCGCACTCAGGAGAGTGCGGCGCTGGGAGCGCAGTGGCGCCCCTGCCGCAGGTTCGGATCCTATATAGGGATGGCCAGTGCACCCACTGGCTGAGTGCGGTGTGGTGACACCAAGCCAAGGGTTGTGATCCCCTTACCCATCACGTAAAAGACAAAAAACAAAAATATACTCAATGGAGGTAATAATGGATTAGACATTGCACTTTTTTTTAAGTGGACTTGAAGGCATAGCAACAGAAACTTATCTAATATGAAGGTTAGAAAAACTTTTGAGGGAAAGAGCATAGTGAGCATTAGGATAACTTCAAGCAGTCTAATGTATGAGTATTTGGAGCCCCCCCAAAAGAGGACTGGTAGCAGAAAAAATATTTGAAAAAATAATGGCTGAAAACTTGATAAACAATAAAAATGGACACAACAAGCTTAATGAACCCCTAGAATAAAAAATATATGTTTTTTGCTGCTGTTCTTTTGCTTTTTGTTTTGTTTTTTGTTTTTAAGGCAAACAGCATAATTAAATAGCTCAGAGGCATTATGGGCATTTCAGGTTTCGAGATTTTTATGTCCTTCAGTCATAGGAGTAATTGCAATTAAGGAAGCTAGTAAGTCTCTCAAATGGTACATATTGTACCACAGGATCAGGACATTTTCCCATCCAAAAATCCAATTGGTTGCTGCTAGGTAGCATTCACTGGTTTTTATAATAAAGTATAGTCTATAGTTCACACCTATATAGTTCTATAGAGAGATTGTCAGTACCAGCATTCCAGCTTCAAACAAGGCATTCATTAAAGTGGTCATCTCTTTTTGTCTGCCAGGTATTTTATTGTTTCAAATTAACAGCCCTTTTAGGTGTGACTTTTAGGTTTCGGGAACATGTGAGCTTGGGAAATTTTATTGGTTCCCATTTCACATATCCTGTCAGTATTAGCTAAACATTTAATTTACATGTCTTATTTTACAATACTAGTTATAAGAAATATTCCCAGTCAGACATAATGTCCATTCTTGTAATACATGGAGGTAGAGCAGATGTGGTCACTTCCCATAGTCTCTTTATTCCAGTTCTTATCTGAGCTTTCAACTTATTCCCATTAATCCTCCCAATCTATCTGTAGCTCTCAATAGGACTTCACTAGTAGGGTGTTTGAATTATGATGCATTGGGCTTCCATGTCAAGGAGTTTCAGAAAAGTTTTTTCCTCACCCCTTGCCCATTTTATACATGTTCTTTGTGGGTACATGGGGACTTTGAGTTTTCAGCTGGGGGTCAGGCCAAAGGACCTTGGTCCTTTTGTCAATCCTTACCTGAACCCTGATAAGTTTGATCACCCCAGGTGATTCAGGCTCAGGTTTCTCATTGTCAACTTTGCATTGAAGCTTTTAAAAATATATTTAATTGACAAAAATTGTACATATTCAAGGTGTACAGTGTGATGATTTGATATGTGTACACACTGTGTGATGACTATGTCTTGTAGCTTTTTAGATTCTTTGAAACTAGGGTAAATAGTGCAATTTGTTTAGCACCCTTCAATGTTGAGGGACTGGCATAGACTCCCATTGATCCATCCCACCTCCAATAGTACTATATTGAGACCTTTGTTTTGCTCACATCAATGGCCACTTTATTCATCCTATTTCTTAAAAAGTGTTTAAAGATTTCCACTCTGCTATGATAAGTCCCTTGAAACTCCCCTTCATCTTTCTCTGTTCTTATGCAAATCACTGTGATTTTCTTACCTATGTGTCGTTTTAGGATAAATTTTTCCTTTATTAGAGGCTCTGTGGCTGTAGCTCAGAATGGGTGAACTACAAGTCTGGCCCAGATCACAAATAACCATAATGAAGAGATTGTATATTTAGTTTCATTTTATTTTGCCTTATGTATCCAGTTAGCCAACTCCTCAGTAGTTGGATCTGTTATTTCTGGAGTTTATTGTTAACTTTTTCCACAACTGCAGTTCCATATTATGGGTAACTATGTAACCACCTAGTAATCCGAGTTATTCCAAACCATGCTTTCGCCATGTTTCACTGAGCCAGGTTTGTTCTAGCAAATCCCACTTTTGACATCAGTAGCAGTTTGGGAGGACCCCAAGACTACCCTAGGTTCGGTGATTAACTAGGATTCACAGATTTCAGAAAAGCTGTTATACTCACATTCATAGTTTATTACAGTGGAACAATAGAGATTAAATCAGGAAAGAAAAGAGGCACACATGGGAGAGGGTCCAGGAATGACTAGGTGTGAGTTTCAAGTTGACTTTTTCCAGTGGAAGACAATTTTCTCAGCAACAGTATGTGACAACACACATGGACTATTGCCAACCAGAGAAGCTCACTTGAGCTTTTGGGTCTAGGGTTTTTATTAGACATTTGTCACATAGGTATGTCTGACTGCCACGTGGCTGTCCTCGGTTCTATCCCCTTCAAAGATCAAGCTGATATCATGTGTCTAAGGCCCGCATCACAACTCACATTGTTAGCATAGACTATCTGTGTGGCCCAAGCAAGGCCTCCAGGTAAATCAAGACAAAACTATCAGGGAGGATGTACCAAGGTCTTAGAGATTCTATACAAAGAGCTGGACTCAGGCCAGACTTTCTTTGGGCAAGGTTAATCCTTTACTACACAAGTGCTTATAGTGATTGAGTGATTTGCCCCCAACTTTTAAGCTAATATTTCAGTGCTGGGGTATAAAACAACCCAATTCTTCTGATGTTCCAACAATACCACATTGTCACCCATTTTATTCTTCTCCCATTTATCTGAACTTACAGCTGACTTGTCCCACAGTCTGTCACTATTGTAGCTGTTGCTTAGTAATGTCACCTCTGCTAAAATTGTTTCATGGAATTCCTAAACAGTATTTTCACTGAAATCCATACATTTTGAAGTCTAGCCACAGCATAGACTTCCCTAAGTTTACTCATGACTGACTCACTTTATATTTTTCCTTAGGTTATAACCAGTCTGGATTTCTACCTTCTACTAACCTACCTTATCATTTTTAATATATTATGTTTTAGCAAGCTGTCTGTCCTTTCATATCAAAAACATTTTCTGGTTATACTTACTTAATTATCACATTATCTTATGAAACAGATATAACACTTTCCCCTTTTTAGAATACACAGTATGATATTGTATGTATAGAAATAAATATAATCAACCTAGCCTTTCTTCAATTTGGATGATCACCTAGGACAATATATATCAAGCTTTCCAAGTAATTCTGAGTCATGCAAATTTTTGAGAAACATTAGCTTAATCACTTTCTTCATTTTCCTCACCTTCCTGTATGGATTTTTTTCATTCTCTGCTTTCCTTGTTCACTTGTTGAAATGCCTGTCTTTATTTAGTAGTATAATAGAAGTTTATTTGAAAACATTTTGTTTATTCTCACCTTTTCTACTACAGAAGTTTTATTTCTTCAGATTAGGAAAAAAGCAGATGTTTGATTTTTATTTCATTTCAGATCAACCATCAAAGCCTGTGACCAAGAAACCATCTTTAAGGAAAAAAGCTAGTAATGTAAAATCATTTCAGTTGGAGTTAGTGGAAAGAATTAAAAGGCTGGGCTCAACTGTCAGAGATGTTTCAGAATGTAAAGATCACTTTGAGAAACAACAATCATATCAGGAGGCATGTTTCAGCCAAGAAAAAGTCACCCATGAAGATGTGCCTGCTTTCAATCAGCATGTGTCTCTTACACTACACCAAAGAATTGAAAATGAAGAGAAACCATATGAGTGTAAGCAATGTGGGAAGGCTTTTAGTCGTGCCTCACATCTTACTCAGCATCAGAGAACTCATACTGGTGAGAAGCCCTATGAATGTACAGAATGTGGAAAAGCCTTTAATTGTGGATCAGCACTTACAAAACATCAGAAAAGTCACACTGGAGAGAAACCCTATGAATGTAAGGAATGCGATCAGTCTTTTAGTTGTGGCTCAGACCTTTTACGACATCAGAGAATTCATACTGGTGAGAAACCCTATCAGTGTAGACAATGTGGAAAGTCTTTTCGTTGGATCTCATACTTTTCTCAACATCAAAGAATTCATACAGGTGAAAAACCTTATGAATGTAAGGAATGTGGGAAGGCATTTAGAACTAGCTCATACCTTTCCCAACATAAGAAAATTCACACTGGTAAGAAACCATTTGAATGTAAGGAATGTGGAAAGACATTTTGTTGGAGCTCCTATCTTACAAAACATCAGAGAATTCATACTGGTGAGAAACCCTATGAATGTAAGGAATGTGGGAAGGCCTTTAATAAGAACTCAAAACTTGTTCAGCATCAGAGAATTCATACTGGTGAGAAGCCCTATGAATGTAAAGAATGTGGAAAGGCCTTTAATAGGAGCTCAAGTCTTATTCAACATAACAGAATTCATACTGGTGAAAAACCCTATGAATGTAAGGTATGTGGAAAGACCTTTAGCTGTAGCTCATACCTTTCTCAACATCAGAGATTTCACACTGGCAAGAAGCCCTATGAATGTAAAGAATGTGGAAAGTCCTTTAGTTATCACTCAAACTTTACTGTACATAAGAAAATTCATACAGGTGAGAAACCCTATGAATGCAAGAAATGTGGCAAGGCCTTCACTGGGAGCTCCAGCTTTATTCAGCATCAAAGAATTCACAGTGTTGATTAACCCAATGAATGGAAGTACTGTGCAGAAGATATTTTCATGGTTCAGAATAATAATAATAAACCAAATAATATTAAAATAGTGACATCCTATGAACAAAATAAATAACAACACTTTTACAACCTTATTGTAAATATTAGAAAGATCATATTTGAGAGTAACCATGTGAATTTATCTTTTGCTAATTAATGTCTATAAGTTTGTTTCATGCTGAACTGTGAAACCATTTCAAATTTTACTCCAAAATAGGAAAGTGTCTCAATTGATCATGTAGCCTCAAATTCTTAGCACTAGGTAATCATTAATTCCTGTATTCTACATGTGTATGTTGCCTCTTGTTGACTGATATATTCTTATCAATATTAGCCAGTATTTTAGGACCCTCTTTTCTATTATTTTGATCCAAAATATCTCTGCTTTCTCTCAGTATTTAAATATCTAAATTTAGTATTTTATATAAATGATACATTTATGTCTTTTAGAAGATTTGCTTTATTTACTTTTCCCTTGTATAAAAGTTTTTTGTTTTTTTTTTTTTTTGTGGCTGACTGGTATGGGGGTCCAAACCCTTGGCCATGGTGTTATAAAACCACACTAGCCAGCCTAGCTAACTGACCAGCCATATATCATAAAACTTTAAATGATACAGAGAAGCACAAGGAAAAAAGATAACTTGGCAATCCTATCAACCAGAGAAATCCACTGTCAAATGGATCAAGTCCACAATTTGTGCTTATGAGATACTAGCATTCTATAACACTATATTTTTACTTGCCATTCCTATGCCAAAGAAATTTTCCTGTTAGTAGACAGAAATTTTTCATAGTTAATAATAGCTTCACTAGGTACCCTATGAGACTGTATTTACCAAATACCTTTAATGATTTTCCCCCAATTTAGGAAGATCATGAACAGTGTCCTAGATCAGTTTTCTAGATGTCTTTGTATGTTTCTGGTTTGTTTTTGTTTGTTTTTGTTTTAGGGAAGCTTTTATTGCCAATAAGTCACAAATACATTCTTGTGGAAAAGATTTAAACATGACAGATTCCCAAATCCTGTTTCATACCTCTCCTATATCCTCTGTATACTCACCATAGCTAACCAGTGTTATCAATTTGGTCAAATCTTTTCTCTGTTTTTAGAAATACATTAATATTTTTTGTTACATTATGCATATGCAGAATGAAATAGGGGTAGGGTTTCCACCTTGGCATGAGTGTGAGGATCAAATGTGTTAATAAATCTAAAGTGCTTAGAACTGTACCTGTTGTGTAATAAATATTTAGTAAATGTTAGCCATCATGATAATTATTTGTGGGAAGGAATTTATGTTGTATTCCACATTCAATCTTACAGATTTCTTATAGTGGTTATTATCATGGTGTCAATGTAAAAAGTATTAGGAAGACTTTCATGAGGAATTGTCCATTATTGAATATGAGAGTCTTAATTGTGAAGAATTAAAAGCAAAAACTGAAGTGAATATGTATAAAGCATTTTATTCACACCTCATCCTATAGGCTGCTGCATAAAAATATCAGTCTGAAACCCTATGTGATACATACCTATCTAAAGGGCAGAGGAAAGATGTACAAATGTATCTTTGGGATCAGTTTCAAAATCAGAAAATGAGAATTGATTATAGGTCAGGCTTTTTAATCAAAATCATAGTAATAACAAAAGGCTTGACAATAGTATAGCCTAAAATATCCACATGTCCATTTAATGCCCATCTAAGTAACTATTGGCCCGAAGTGGAAATCAAGACTGAAATTACAAAGTCTTTGGAAGAAAATGAATGGTAAAGAACCCACCATATAGAAAAACCTGAAGATACAGCAAATGCTGTATCCCATAAAATATACCAGCCCAAGTACATGGCATGCACATATGCTTCTGAAACAGTAAGACCTCAAAGCCAAGAAGAAATCAAGACAGTTTTGTAAGGCAGCTTACACATCTTACTGGGCCCCACCATTATTTGATGTTCATCACAGCTACAAAAACTGGAGTCTTGTGACTGCAGCCAAGTACATAATGTTTTCTGACTTAAAGGTCATTTTCAGGAAGTATAGAAGAAGATAAAGAATGAAAACATTCTCTTTTTCTCCTTTTCATTAGACAAGAAAGCCAAATACATCAACAGTTGGGTAGGGGAAGCACTAAATGGGAGGACACTAAATGTCAACATTAGGCAACTTTTGCATAAGTCTACTTAAACTGCTGTATTAGTCTGTTTCTGTTGCTTATAACAAAATACACAGAATTGGGTAATTTATAAGAAAATTAAATTTATTGCTTAGTTTCTGAGACTGGGAAGTCCAAAGTCCAAGGAACTTCGTGGTGGTGACAGTGACCCCCTCACATTGCAAGATAGTGGAAGCAGAGAGAGTGACAAACTCCTCATGCTCCCCTGAAAGACCACGGGGGTGCATTGGACTTGCAGAGAGAGCACACCTAGGGATACAAAGTGGAGTGGGGGAAGGGGTCTGGTGAGGAAGGTTGGGGATAATTGGGTGGGGGACGGGTATAATCACAATTTGTGGTAATGGGCATGCTGCCAGTATGGATATGGCCATCACATCTTAGGCATGAGTGGTGACAATTTGTACCCCATGAATATTCATAACCAATAAAAAGTAAATAAGTAAAAAAGCCCTCAGAACCACGCCCCTGACCACCATTATTTATCCATTCACTATGGCACAGCCCTACAATCTAATCACCTCTACAAGGCTCCACCTTTCAGTTACCATAGTAGGATTTCCCACCCTTAACAGTTACAGAGGGGATTAAGTTTTAGGGGGACATTCAACCCAAGGCATTCTGCCTCTGGCTCCCCAAAACTCACCCTTTTCACACACAAAAACCTTAATTTCATCCCCATAGCCCCAAAGTCTTAACTTCTTTCAACTCAAAGGTCCAAAGTCCCATCTGTGAACTCAAAAACAAGTTATCTACTTCCAGGATACAATGGTGGGACAAGCATAGGGTATATATTTCCATTCTAAAAAGGAGGACTAGGCCAAAAGTAAAGGGTATCAGGTTCCAAACAAGTCCAAAACCCAGCAGGACAGGCATTGAATCTTACAGCTGGTGAACCATGTACCTTGACTGCATGTTTGATGTCATCTGCATGCTGATGTGGGGGTTGGGCCCCCAAGTCCTTGGCAGCTCCAATCATATGGCTTTCCTGGTCTTGTGCTATATTTCAGCTCTCCCAGGCTTGCGTTCCACTCTGGTAGCTCCGCAGGTCTGAGGATTGCATGGCAGTCCCATTCTCTTGGCACCACTAGGCATGGCGCTGTAGGGGTTTTTCTGCTGCAACTCTGACCCCACTTTTACACTCAGTATTGCTCTAGTGAAGGCTGTCTGCGGTGAATCTGCCCCTGTCACAGATCTCTTCCTTCCCAGGCTTTTCCATACATCCTTTGAAATCGGGGAGGAGACTCCCAAGATTCCACAACTCTGGCATTCTGAGCCAGCAGACATAAGACCATGTGGAAGCTGCCAAGGCTGCCAGTTTGTATCTTTCAAAGCTGCAGGTCCAGCATGTCTGGGGCCAATTTAGCCATAGCTGAAGCAGCCAAAGCAGCCAGGGTGCTGGTGTGGGGAGCAGCATCCCGAGGTGGTCCTGGTCAGTGAGCCTGTGGAAAGCACTTCGGGCCTGTCCCCCAAGACGATTCTGTCTCCCTAGCCCTTTGAGCCAGTAATGGAAGGGTTGGCCCCAGAGGTTTCTGCAATGCCTTCAGGACCTTTTCCCCCTTCTCAGGATAATCCCTTTTTTTGGTACTAATATTCTTAGTACTACTGAATTTTTCTCCTGAAAATTCTCTCTGCTTTTCTACCACATGGCCAGGCTGGAAATTTTCTAAATCTTTATGCTCTGCTTCCCTTCTAAATTCCGGCTTTATATCATGCCTTTGCTGCCATAACTCAGAGTAGGCTGTTACAAGTAGCCATGCAGCTTCCTGAATGCTGTGCTGCTTAGAAATTTCTTTCACCAAATACTCTGGTTTACAACTCTTAAGTTCCAACTTCCACAAAGTCCTGGGGCACGGACATAATGCAGCCAAGTTACTTGCCAGTTCATAGCAAGGGTGATCTTTGCCCCAGTTTTCAGTAAGTCCCTTCTCACACCTGAGATCTTCTCAGCATGGCCTCTATTGTCTATATTTCTATCAGCATTATGCTCACCACCATTTAACCAGTCTCTAAAACATTCTAAACTTTCTCTGGTTTTCTTGTCTTCTAAACTTTCACCAGCATCAAGGCTTTTCCTTTTATTCCTCCCGTCAGCTGCAGCCCCTCCCTTCCACGTGGGTGCAAGAGAAACCTGATAGCAGCTTTGCTGGCCTGGGAAATAAGATGTTGCACTCCAAAAGTGATTTTACTTATTTATTTATTTGTTTATTTATTTGTTTGTTTGTTGCCTGTGGTCATGGCATTCTTCCCTGCAAACTCCAAGTGGCTTCACATGAAGGTGCTGCTGTATCTTTGCTGTCTTTAGGTAGCTGCCCCATGAGCTGCTGGGTCAATCAGGCTGATCAGGGTAATCACTCCTCTCATTTGCCATGGTTTTCCAAGCTGTCATGGACTCAGCTGGTTTCTCCTCTTCCCTCAAGTTTCAGTGTTTACAGGATGGCAGTTTTTGTGCTTTAATAGTTGTAAGTTGTTTGGTTGTGGGGTACAGGGGAATGACATTGGAATTGTCTATTCACCATCTTGATGTCATCACTGTCTCCACAGACAAAGTTTTGGTACTAAGCAGTAAAGGTCTAACACAACCAAAGAACACCTGTAAAACAAGGTAGAGGCAGCCGTCTCCTCAAAAGCCAGGTATCTACATAAAGACACAAAGATTGAAAAAAAACAGAGAACTATGACACCACCAAAGGAAACAAAGCACCAGTAATGGGCCCAGAAGAACAACACCAGGTTTATGAAGTGTCTGACAGAGAATTCAGAATAATCCTTCTAAAAATGTTCTGGGAGTCACTAGAAAATACAAACATAAAATTACAGGATACTTTGAAAACAATGTAGAAGAAGAAAGAGAGATTTGAGAAATAGAATCAAATAAAGAGAAATTCTAAAAATAAATAATACATTATCTGAATGGAAAAACTCAATAGAAATTTCCAACAGCAGACTTGATCAAATGGGAAAGAATCAGTGAGCTCAAAAACAGAACATATGGATTATCCAATAACAGGAACAAAAAGAAAAAACAATAAAAATGAAACAGAATTGCAGCAATTATGGGACCCCTTCAGGCAACATTACCTCCATATAATTGGCATACCCAAAGGAGATGAAAAAGGAAGAGATGCAGGAAGGAAATTTAAGAAAGCAATGGCTGAAAGTTTCCCAAATATGGAGAAAGATAGAATCCAGGTGCAGGAAGCTCAAAGATCACCAATGAAATTCAGTCCAAAGAGAAACAGCCCAAGGCACATCATAATCAAATTATCAAAACCAAA